GTGAACTTAATAAGGTATTTGTTTCGGGAGTATCATGCTTTCACAGAAACACAAACAGAACCAACATGAAAAAAGCCAGAAAAGAAGTATTGTATTCCCCAATGGTATCGCCTAATAAATTTTAATTGGCTTGTATTTAAAACACATTAAGGCTAATCCCGTTTAAGCAGGAGCACCGTCTATTTCTGATTGCACAACTTAACTTTTCTGATGACATATGTCTTGAACTATGAGGCTCCCGGCAAGTTCCATCCATCAACATGCGATTAGGCTGATACTCACGCCCGCACCCATCAAGATAAAATCCACTCGTAGACTGTCTACTACTCGGGCCCGTTTTTGCCTTAGCTCAGTCGCCGGCCATCCACCGAAGGAGGCTGAAGCCGCCGACCCGATCACGTACAACGTATACAAATGCAGCATGTAGCAGTTGCTCATCGTACACCTATGCCAGGTTACAAAGCACCGCTCGTGCGAAATGCCAGCATGGCATGACTCCCTTTCCAATCCACTGGTCGTCGCACAGCTAGGCTGCAGCACCAACTGTGCTCTTGCCACAAAGCAAAGGGGTAAAAAAAATGAGCAACTGGACGCCCAACTCAGACCAGCTATATGGTATCACATACTCTTTAAGCGAGCAGCTTTCACTTACAGCTCACCAGACAGACTCGTTTTAGCTCCAACAAAGAATTCAACCGAAAAAGCACTTCCATGGAACAAAGTCGAAAAAACACAGCTGAGTTCTGAATCGCAGTAAAACCCAAGTCAGTCAGGAACAGATTTCAGACTAAGCTCAAGCTTATTATGAGGACACCTCTTTTTAGCCTGCAGAATTCCTCATGCCTTCTCGCCAAAGCAGAAACTCTTTTCTTTTTTCATATTCCTGTTCTTGCCCGCGCCTTCACGGGCTCGCTGTCTGTCAGAACGAAGAATTGTCGTCAGCATATTAGCCCTTATCTTCTCCTGCATATCTGGCATAGAAACAAGAATCATTATGATTCGTTAACCTATGTGACACAGAACGATTCTCGTACCGCTTACATAAAACTCAGATAGTTATAAGAACTTTCTAAGGGAAGATTGTAATTCCAGTGTGAATCCTACCTCGGATCATAAGAGTGGATACGCGAAACCGTTTTCGAACAACCTACTTAACACTTAACACAAGAGCATGAGCACAGCCCACAGAACTAGCAAACACAAGGCAGCTCAAGTCTAGGTGAAACAACTGGTTTTCCCCCTCTTAAATTAATTGCTTTTCAAACTGAACTTGATTGTTCCCAACAAACACAGCGGGAAGAGATCGAGACATTCTCGCTCTAGAGTGTGGTGTAAGCCACATGGAGTTGGTTTCTGCGCGTACTGAGGGGG